ATTAAATAAACAGAAATCGACTAGTCGACGACCGTTTTGATTTTGTTTGTCAATAGCATGTTTACCGACAGTTCCTCCAGCTGTATTGGCCTGTTCTACTCCGACACGAGCATTAAAATCACCCATTATCATAATCATATCACTCTTATGGGTTTTATCTATTGTTGCTTGTAGAGTTTTATAGAACTCGTCGCAAGTTTCAATATCATTTTTTACTCCATTCGAGGGATTTATAGGTGCATAAACCGCTATGATGGTGATTGGTACAAGTCGACACTCAATACGTACAGTTACAATTCTTGAACTCACTGCTTCCCATTGAGCACCTGAGTTCTTCCAAACAGTAATAGCTTCAGGACCCAAACATGCAGCTGCCCCATGTGCAGACCTTGATAATAATTGAGAAGGTGAACCTGAATATATGAACGTATACCCATTTGCCACACAAACACCCGAATCCGATATTTTTGTTTCAGCCAGTGGCGCCACCTGAATTCTATACCGTTTTAACTGACGAACAATAAGTTCTCGTTTAGTGACCCTATAGCACGACCTGACATTCCATGATCCAAAGAGTGTTACCCTGGTTGTGGTAACAAGTTTGGTTTTGGCTTGTTCATTTTCGTTAGTCAGATATTGTTTAATGTCCTACACTCGGGTAACTAGCCCAAAAATAAAACATAGTGGCTCCTGGACCCCAGGGGACGCCCTTCCAGCACCGCAAGCAGCACTAGGCCCCCTGGGAGTACGTAAATACTCCCCAGTAGAGACAATCGAGACAGAACATGTGTGTCACTGGAAAAATGTACATACTGATACGAAGAATGATGGTCTTGATAAAAAGAAAGTTGTTCTCTTTTATAATGTTCGTATTATTTTATGTCTGTAATTCGACTCATGACGTATACGATGATTTTCCTAAACGCTCAACAGTTTTAGTTTCGAGCAAACCAAAAAGACATTGTCTTCAAATGGCTTGTCAGTCACGAAAATCAGAGCTACTTTCTTTTGTGAGAATAAATTATCATAAAACTAAGATTGAAAAATTGCTGGATATCATTGATGTATTGTGCTGCACTAGCATGATGATTTTTAATTTGATCTCGTTTAAATTTTCTTTTGTTTTATTTAGCATTATATGATGAACGTTGCTATGTTGATGAATACTCCTTTGATCATTAAGAAAGCAGAACTCAAAAACGAATGGAAATTTTTTTTACTTTTTACTACATTGAAATCATTATATTTTTGGAAACAAAAGACAAACGGAATTGTTGCAATCAATTTCAATGTCAAATCGGATTATTTAAATACTTTTCGTGAACGAAAGTTCTGATGCTTTTAATTATCTTTTCTCTCTTACATCTTCGATAGCTTCCATACATGCATCTGTATGTGCATGAAGAAGAAATGAAAAGAACACAACAGTTAATTATGATGATATGAATAATAGTAGGATCGTCTTCAATAGAAATCAATTGAAAGTCATAAAAAAATTGAATAGTTTCGAAAACATGTGATAAGAAAACGATTAATTTACTCGTACTAATTGATAAATAAAACCGCACACTTTGTCGAATTTCGTTTACAAATTGGAATTATATCATACTAACTGTTTGAACATCAGATGACTTCTACTCTGTCGTAAAAGTGAAGATTAATTATGTATAATAGTATTTGCAAAATAAATCTATATAGATACATTCATATCTCGTATGATCCTTCTAAAAACCATATAGTATGAGATACAATCATCACGCTTGCTCACAAATTGAATCAAAGACATAGTACCAAAGTGTTATTGTAAAAATAATGAGCGATTTCTTTAACCAACAAACAAAATATTTTCTGTTTGAAACTTGTGTCACCTGTGCTTTTGATCATCGAATGTAGGAACATTAGCATCGGACCAAACACGTGTTCTTTTTATAGGACCTCTTATCGAACATTGACACTAAATAATTGAGAGAGTAACAAGAATAGAATAGATCTTCAACATTTCAGACATGATATTCATTGATTTTTTATTTCAATAGAAGTAACAACAAAAGAACTAGGTTTTTTGCATAAATAAAGACAGTAAAATGATTGGAAACTAAATTAGCTTTTGGAACAATAAATAAGGCTTCGAATATTCATTTTTCAAATATAAATTTCTCTCAAAATAATAATCTGATACGATTCTGTATAAGTGTGTTATTTTTATTCTGAAGGTTTGTTCTGAATAAGTAACTGTTT